CCCCCCCCTACATTGTAATTAATTAAAAAGTTTACTTCGACGAGGATTCCCTGTCCTCCGTTCAACGATAATTTACTATTAGCTATTAAATTAAAGGGGAAAGAAAAATCAAAGAACAAAATTATGAGAGAGAAAAAAAAAAATTGATTTGACTGACGAAGGTAGTTAGGCGAACTTCCTCGAATTTTCGTTAATAGCATTACAGTTCATTAACGATCCGCGTTATATCTGACCTAGTGGTCCGCGGTTCTCTGTTCCACCGGTGTTTCAGTAATTTTCAACACTAACGAAGCCCCCTCTAAAGCTAAAGTTAAACCGCGCACCAGGCCAGAAGTTGGTATCCCGTGGCTACTGCGTGAAAGATCGTCCCGATCGTTTATTAACACAGTCCACTTGCTTCCCTACCGTGTCTGATAAGTAAGAAGATTATGGTACTTAATCTCTCGGGTTCCCTCTTTACCAACCTTAACTCGACGATCAATGGGAAACGAAACGTTTCGATGTTAACGAATGGCTCTTGCACAGTTCAGCTATAAATAAATAAATATGTAATATAAATTGAAGCGCAGTTCTTATTTTATCACTGCGAGTGTTTATTTTATATAATATATATAAAAAATATTTATTTTTTATATTCATAATTTATATAAATATTTATATATATTTAAATATTTTATTTTATATAAATATAAAAAATAAATATTTTATAATAAAATATATATACATAAATATTTTTTATATATAGTATATAAAATAAACACTCGCAGCGATAAAATAAGAACTGCGTTTCAACTTATATTTATAATATTTATATATATTAAATATTTATTTTATATAAATATAAAAAATATTTTATAATAAAATATTTAATATATTTAATATATATAAATTTTTTTAAAAAAATATTTTGTATATAAAATTTTTGTCATCGACGGAATTCGTCTCGAAAGAGAAAAATTGTGCCATCCTCTTTGCGATGTATGTGTTGTTTACTATGCAATGATCTAATCGTTAGTGGGTTAAGAATAGTGTAATATAATTTGGAGGCATTGTACGAACTGAAGATTTAAGCTCGTGTAATGTCACAATAAAACTTGTTAAACGATTATAATAAAGATACACACATCACGAAAAGAGGTCAATAGTGATTCTTGCGCTTAACATGATAGAACGTAAGGATAGATAAATAATGATTTGCGTTATGTCGCGGTACAAGCTGAATCTGCTGAATTAATACCGCATTTATCAAGTAAATACAACGTTAATTATATCAATACTGGATAACACACGCACACACTGGACTGCGTAAACACATAGAATATTGAAACTGAATTTTACTTTGA